CAAGTAAAAGTCTATACAAAAGTGAAAGACTAACCAAAATCATAGTTTTAAAAAACAGATAAAACCAGAAGTCCACAAGGATTTGAAGAAATAGCTGTTTTCATACACTACCATAGAGCATAAATTGGTGCAACAATTTTGGACAAAGTTTAGTATTACTTATGAAAGGTATACATAAGTACCCTTCTAACAATCTACTCAACAGAATCAGATGCCCCTATGATTCAAGAAACACCGACAACATGCTCAGCGCAGCATCATTTGTGACAGTCAATACTACAAAAAACCACCCTATTGACAGCAACAGGGTGGCTCAATTACAGGGTGTGACTATAGTGGAATACTATACAGAAATAAAATGAAAGAACCACAGTTATTCTTAACAACATGGGTGAATCTTACATAATAGGAGGAGAACTGGTCAGAGATCAAGGAATACATATTGGCTTATTCTCTTAACAAGAGTCCGAACCTGGAGAACTCTAAACTAGGGCAAGAGAAGTCACAGTGGTTACCTTTTCCTTTTATTGATGTGACTGTTGGGAATGGGTGTTCAGTTTTAGAGAAATCATTGAGCTGTACTTTCATGTTTCACAAGCTGTGTGTGCGTGTTGTACTTCAGTTTTCAAATGTCTCACAAATTTCTATGATAAAATAGAATCTCTTTAAAAATTAGGAAGAAGAAAAATTTTTTAAATGTCATCCATTCTTTCTGGTTGCTCCTTTCCAAGCTACTGGCCTCAAGAACCCTTAGTCTGACCGTTCCAAGTAGCCTCTTGGAATTCATCCTTTCTTAGCCTGTCCTTTCCTAGCAGGTTCAAATTTTTAACAAAAGCATTTGATGAACTTTGTATGTTCATCATATGAACTTTAGATAACTTTATGTGAATCAATCTGTTACCACGTCATAGACTGAAAATGTCTAGAACCAATGCATAATTTTTCAGGGAAGGTAGGGATTTTTTTAGTCCATGAAAACACTGATGGACTATCATGAGGATGTCATTCAAGGTGGAAAGTATGAAAAGAAGAACAACTGAGAGACAATCAGAGGCTTTTGCAATTATGAAGGAAGCACTATTATATTTAAAGCCAAGACCCCAATTTTTGTATTTAGAAAGAGAATGAAGTTGAATTAGATGTCCTTTGCTGACCTTCCACCACCATAGAACTCTGTGAATAATTCACTGGAATTATTCCAGCACCTATAATTTATGTCTGTGTTGCACTTCTGGAGAAAAATTTCAGGAAGAAACCTGGGTTGCCTTACTATCCAGCTGTAAAAAGCCCTCTCTGTCCACCACTCACCAACCACTCTGATGTCTACTCCTGTACCTTGGTGGAGAGGACCCTGGTGAAGAGGGTGCTGGTGATGTGAAGGAGGTCAGGTAGTTTATAAGGAAGTAAACGATGGACAGAATCAGAACTCAGAGTTCAGGATTTACTGGGGTGCTCTCTGACTGGATCAAGGGTGGCCACCTCATTTTATTATTTCACAATATAAAATGTGGTTTCTCCAAAGATGAAAATGTCACCTATAACACTAAATTATGTGCTATCAATATACCATCACGTGGAGTTTGCTGCATATTTCTTAGTTACCTGAGAATAATCTAGTCTAGAACCTAACTTAAAAATGCAACTCAGAGAACAACTACTGAAGGCTACCTCTGAAAGAAAGAATAGAGTACAGGGTCATCATTCTATGGGGAGGAACTCTTGGATTCCAGAAAAATTAGGAACTGAGAAAGAAGCCTAATCATAGTGTCTGTGATGGGGATAAAGAGTGGAGGCAGGAAATGTGCTCAAGGTCAAACTTCACCTCTCTCTTCCCAGGTCGCTAAAGCTTCATCGGTGATCACACAGTAGATAAACATTCTGTCATCCACCCTTACAAAGCCCTTTAAATCAGGAGTAAACCCTAAGGATGGTTAAATGAATGTGCTTCTTCAAGGCCTAATGGTTCAGAGGGTGATCATTAATTTCTCCTACACACCTGGGAATACACTAGAAGATTTTTCTTTCCAGGTTCAAGTGCCTGTGAGGGAGTTATATACTGCAGATTCTTTCAACCACAGGTAACACATGATAGCCAGACCCCAAATCTTGGGTGCACAATTCCTAAGAAAACCCAACTAATCCAAATGAAAGGCTGTGAAGTTTCAGAGAGGCAGAAAAAAAGCAAGTATGCTGGAAAAGATCACCTTTAAATAACACAGCACCCTCATAGCCCAAAGTGGCAGTCCTTCTGACTGTTATGCCATATCTGAAAAGTACATACCAAACTTTATAATTTTCTTCTCTTTTTGACATAAAATTCTTTTAGCCTCCCAAGCAGCAGGTATACCCTGAAGACTTCTCAGAACTCTCTCCCATTGGATCCTGTCTGGAAAATTTTTACCTACCTGGAGAATTTTCCCCATCAGTTATATTCTTAATATTCCAGTCTTTAGAAGCACAAATATCAGAGAATGGCTCACACATGTCTCTTCTACCAGACAAAGCCACAGTATCTCACACAAAATCCCAAGACACATCTACACTCTAGCTACAATTCTATCTATACTTGCAAAATTATTTTCTCTCATGAGACACCCAATGTTCCTTCCCAACAGACAGCAAGAATCAGGTTCTATACTTTAAAGCCAGCAATTTTATTCCTCAGCAAAGTGAGTTATTCCAGGTTATGTAACAATATCCTCTGCACTGTATGACATCTGCAATTATGTAAAAGAAAACAGTATCAGGAGTAGGCTGTGCTGCGCAATGCACAGAGGTCTATTATTTCTTGATGACTTTAGAAAACCATGGGTTGAGTTAAAAGTAAAAGTCCCACAGAATTAGAAGGGAGGACACTTGCGGAAAAGACACACTTTTTCTGCAGAATTTCCCTTTAAAGTTGATTTACATTGATGATTTCACAAGTCCTAATTCATGGAGAAAAATAGATGCTGAAGGAAATGCCTGTACATTATACTTTAAAATGGATGCTGTCATTTTAAGATGTCCTAGATTATTGGGTATGAATTTGTAAGAGAGGGTCACTTGATACCAACCCACTAGATTTTTACATGTTATGCATAATGCACATGGTAGATTTTTACATCTAAATTTGGTTGAAAAGAAACCACGAAAGCAAAATTTCTCAAGGCAGAAAGGAGGTCTTATACTGGTAGAACAAACATCTGATTTCCATGAGTTCTCATACATATCCTCAGAAGGAGCTAAGACCATACAGAGAAACTGTCAGTGCCCTGGAACTTGATGATTATGAATTAGTAAGGACACTTTGCTTGATATGGTTTATGGAGGAAGTCAATTAACAAGCATGGTCTTAACTGATCCCAGGTCATCCTACTGAGTAGAAGATGGATGGCATAGGAGAGGAGCAGGATATACATAAGGCAGAGAGTTCTTTATTTAGTAACTAAAGTCCACCTAATGCAGTACCAAATAGTCAGTCTGCCAAAGGTCTTGAATTGTACACTATGATTTAGTAATAGAGCCCCATGTTTCTTCTGCCTGGCTTAAATTTCAGCTCAATTACCTTCTTACATCTTTCAACATGCTGCTGCTCTGGATGTGTCTGTTTTATGATATGTGTGCTTGCTTTAAGGAATATTTCTTTTTTAAAATTTTTAATTACAAAGATGGGGGTACAATTCAGGGTTAGGTAGACAAACGATTATGCAGGTACCCTATTGATGAGATATGCCCCTCCCTCCCTTAGCAATTTCCCTTAACTGCCAATCCCACCCCCTCCCCTGACAGTTTCCCACTACTGCCAATCCCTTTCTTACACTATTATAATTGTTCAAGGTCCACTTATGAGTGAGAACATATGGTACTCTGTTCCTTGTTTCTGTGATAGATCACTGAGTATGATCGACTCCAAATCCATCCAAGTTGCTGCAAAGTCCATGTTTGTCTGTCTTTATTGCTGCATAATATTCCATTGTGTATATGTACATTTTTTTATCCAGTCCAGCTTGGATGGGCAGTATGATTGGTTCCATGTTTTCGCTTTTGTGAATAGAGTTGTAACAACATATGTGTGCAGGTATCTTTTATGTAGAATGATTTGAGATCCTCTGGGTATATTCCCAATAGGGGAATTGCTGGGTCATATGGAAGGTCAATTTCTAGTTCTCTCAGCAATCGCCACACTGTCTTCCAGAGAGGTTGCACTAGTTTGCATTCCTCCCAGCAGTGTAGAAGTGTACCTTTCTATTCACCTACTTGCCAGCATCAGTTGTTGTTTTTTTAATTAATGATGGCCATTCTTATTAGGGTTAGGTGGTATCTCAATGTGGGTACTGGGAAAACTGGCTGACTACATGCAGAAAATTGAAAGAGGATCCCTACCTAACACCATACACAAAAAATAACTCTAAATGGATCAAAGACCGAATCATAAAACCTCAAAATATAAGAATCTTAGAAAATGTAGGAGACACCCTTATGGAAATTGGAACTGGCAACCAACTCCTATTCAGAACCCTCAGTGGCTCAGCCTGTAATCCCAGCACTTTGGGAGGCTGAGGTGAGCGGACTGCCTGAGTCCATGGGTTCAAGACCCACCTGGGCAACTTGGCGAGACCTCATCTCCACAATAAATCAAAAATAAGCCGGGCGTGGTAGCACGTGCTTGTAATTCCGGCTACTCAGAAGGCTGAGGCGGAAGGATCGCCAGAGCCCATCAGGCCGAGGCTGCGGTGGCCGAGAGCATCCACTGCACTCCAGTCTGGGCGACAGAGTGAGACTCCAACTCAAAAAAAAAAAAAGAAAGAAAGAAGATAGATGAGTGGGACCTCATCAAACTAACAAGCTTTTGAAAAGCAAAAGAAACCATCAAGAGAGCAGAGAGACAACCCACAGAATGGGAAAAACATATTTGCCAACTGTATATCTGACAAAGGCCTGACATCTAGGATCTACAAGGAACTCAAATGGGCTGAAAGGAAAAAAATCAAACAGCCTATCAATAAGTGGACAAAAGACACGTTTTAAGCAATATTTTATTTCCACTGAGTTGGGGGTTGTACAGGAGACACTAGCCAGTCAGCAGTTACATTGTTCTTCAGGAGGAGAGGCTTGGAGTGAGTGCTGATGGTCCTTAGTTCAGAGGTACCAGAAGACTGTCAAGATGATGGAAAAGAGGTTATGAAAAACCCCTGTAATCAGTCAACCAAGAGAAGGGGGAAGAAAGAGCGGAGGCTTCCTCGAATGCCATACAGGATTGCTCTCCTCTGTCAATCTGTCACACCTGCAGGCCGAAGAGCAGGGAACAGGGATCAATGACAATAGCTGGCCAACCTCCCAGCACCAATTATGCCCCCTTTGAAACCATCCTAGAGCGAGGGCATGCAGTGGGTGGGCGAACTTCCATCAGTGAGCGTTTCTTAAACCCTGGGGATCAAAAAAAGAGGGTTTGCACCTGGTGTGGAGGACAGTGGGTGTGGAGCCCCTGAGGGCCACTTACTTGTGGAGAAGTTGGCCTCAGTGTACATGGGACGGGTGGATGGCAAGAAGGGCGTGTGTCCCAGGAAAGAGGAGCAGGGAGCACTGCTGGGAAGGGATAATCTCACAGCTGCCCATGCTGCTGTGGATCTTGAGGTTTAAGGGTTTGCTCTTCTTGACTCTGAAAAAGAGACAAAGAGAGAGGAAAAGGAAATATATCCACAAGCACACAAAGTGAGAGCAGGGAGATCCAGCCTTGTGAGACTCCCATGAGGGGTCCAAAGTCCATGGGGAGAGATGCACAGAGCCCACAGGCTTTGAGGTAGAGAGGTAGGGACTGGGTGAAGAGGGTGTGCCCTCTAAACTCAGGCCCCTCTGAGAAGCCTGTTCCACCTTGGAGCACAAGGACACAGAGCACTGTTCCTTTTCATCCAGCTCCCTAGTGGAGTTCTAGATAGCCAGGGTCAAGCTCAGATCCCAACTCCAATCCCACAACTTTCTCCTGCATAACCTGAGATCTCAGTGCCCCAGCTCCCAAGCATGTCAGACTGTCCCTGGGCCATTTTACAGACAGCAGATCCCAGGCTGGCCTCAAGTGAGTTCAGGAGATCTGGGTCAAGGTGGTGTTCACCTCCTACCTGTGTTCAGTCCCCAGATTCACTACCCTTCATCTGTATAAAAACCATCAAGATACTTCTGTAGACATTATACTTGATGACTCTGAAGAGATCAAAGGAGACTAAGGCTTGGGCAAGATCCCTTCTGGAAACCTTTCCTCTTGGTCACGACTTCCGGTGCCAGGCCTCTTGTTCTCAATCCAGCCCTGTCTGGTTCTTGGTCCAGTCCCTACCAGGAGTCCCAGGTGGTGCCCACCCTCAGAGTACAGGAGGAAGGGTGTTTCCCCAAACCATAGGCTGCATCCCATGGAGTGCCTCATGGGCAGTGGAGTTACGTGGAGAAGGGACTCTGTGGACCCTCACACCTCCAATGCTGCCTTCACCACAGAACCATTGCTGGGAGAGGACAGGCCAGCTTGTGGCCTGGTGAATGACATGATTCTGGGGCCTGGCACTGAAGATTAAAATATTGGCTTCACCACCCTCAGGTGAGTCAGTTAAACTTCTCAAACCTCAGCTCTCTTGTCTGCAGAAGAGTTCTTCTTCAGAGGATTGTGGAGAGGATTACATGAAATGACCCCTAGAAATTGATTAATGCAAAGTAGAAACATGTATTGTCACTATTATTATAATAACTGGAATTTGATCTTTCCTTTAGTAGAAAGAATCTGCAGCAAAAACAAGGTGGAAGCTTCTGGAAAGTCTGGTCCTACTCTTGGGGACTCTTTAAGACCCAAGAGATAAAATGGCATTATTTGTATGCATTGTGCCTAGCAACGTGACCCCCACAGAGGAGGAACTCAAATATTTGTTGAATGATCTCTCAATGGCAGGGGGCGAAGTAAAGAGGGACCCTTCCTGGGACCCCTCGCCTCACAAGTTCAAGGCCAGCTATGGATTCATTCAAGAGATGGAGAGGGAGATATCTGACCTCAATCCCATACATGGTGCTGGTCCCGCCCTCCAGCAGGTGAATATTGGCCCTATGCAGCAGGCTTCCATGACACGAAAGCACAAACATAAGGAAACCTACCGGTAACTCACTGATACAGGCAGTGTTGTCATGGTTAAACTTGAATGAACAGGAATATGTTGTAGGTGCTAATATCCAGCCATCCTAGTTGATGTCACAATGTGTCACAGTTTGGCCCTGCTGCATAGGGCCAATATCAAAAAGAAGTATGATGTCTACTGAAGGTTGAGAATGACTTGTGTCCACAAGTATGGACCTGTCACATCCTGGGCATTTCTCAGTGACACCATGGGAGCTCTTGAATTGTGGCTGGGGTGACTAAAGTAGGCTCAGCATGAAAAAAAAAATACTGTACAATACCTTATAGCATTTTTACATGCATCAAATGTTGGATTAACTAAAATGCATTATTAAAGTTTCTAAAATTTTTTTAAAAGTGAAGGTCTCAGTATTTATCCACAGTTCAATGCTGAAATAAAAATACCAAAGTTTTCAAGATTCTTTTTGAATCTGTTTGCTTTCTGGGCATCTTTCTCACCAACAGATCATTGGGAGGTGAGGTTATTCAATTTCCAACAGGACTCTTCACACTGGGGAAAGGCTAAAGAAAGGACCCCAAGGATTTTAGGCAGGTGCTGATCAAGTTTTGAGCTGAAACCAAGAGGACGCATCTCAGAAATTAAAAGCATAAAGCATGGGTGTTTAAAAAATTTTCATTTTACCAAACAGAAGGCTTAATCATCATATAAATAACAACCCCAACAACAGCTACTATTACTGCCGCTTTGATTCAAGCACTGACTATGTCCAGGGACAATATCAAGTCTGTCTCACTTATGATCCCATTCAGGCATTATGGGGACCTCAGGGGAAAGATGCTAATGTTACCCTCTCTCCACAGATGAGGATGCGGAGGAAACGAGGAGAAGGGCTGTGGCGAAGACGGCGGCAGTCTTGGAACCAGGCAGGGTGGCTCCAAGGTCCATCTCTCAACTGTACTCACACCAGACCCTCCCCAGGAGTCCGGACCCCAGGCCACAGTCAAGCCTGAGGAGCCTGACCTTGGACATGCTCAGGCCAGAGGCACTGGAGCGGTCAATAACAGAGCCCAGAATCTTCACATTTGCCTCGCCAGAATCAGGCCTCACACAGACAGTTCCGTCCGTCTTCCTCTAAGCTCTCCTACTTCGGAATGACTAAAGAAAAAAAGCGCTGCAATGGAGGCAGGAGACGGGGCAGGAACCCTGGAGAGTTCCCACTGCCTGACCCCGAGGGACAGCACAAGTGCCCCATACAGAATGCTTCTACTGCTTCCTTGCCTCCTCTACCTGGTGCACCCCGACACATACTCCTCAGTCCCATTCACATGTTCCCACCTGTGAGATGTCCTCTCTACTCCACTGAGGGGGGTCATTTATCATTCCCTCGCCTCATTTCTTAGTACCTGTTCTTCCATGATATGTTGGATAATACCCAATCTCCATAGGGCCAGATCAAGGGGTACCCAGTACCCACCCCCACACACCCCTTGATCTGGCCCTATGTATGGCCTTCTCACCCTTTGGGCATGTTGTCTCTACCACCCAGAATACCCTCCCTTTCTTTGCCTGGTTAATCCCTATTTTTCTTTAATGACTTAGCTCTGGTGTCTTCTCCTCCAGGAAGCCTTCCTTGATTCCCCAGTCCCTCCCAGCACAGGTTGGGTCTTCTTCTTCCAAGAAGCCTTCTCTAATTCTCCCTCTTTCCTCCCAGCCTGGGTTGGCTGTTCCTTTTCAGTTCTCTGTATACATATGACTGCAGTTTCCTAGAGTTTAACACAGTTTAAACACCAATTGTCACTGTTATATAACTGGAATTTGATCTGTCCTCTAGTAGAAAGAACCTGCAGCTAAAATGAGGTGGAAACTTCTGGAAAGTCTGGTCCCACCCTTGGGAACTCTTTAAGACCCAACAGATAAAAGGGCATTCTTTGTACATGCTGTGTACAAATACGCTGTCTCCCAAGTGGACTGTGGATCTCTGAGGGCGGTGACTGTAGGGCTCATGTTTCCATCCTTGGCAACTAGCACAGAGCCTGACACACAGTAGGTGCTCATTAAGTGCATATTAAATACCCATTCTGGATTAAGACCGCCGCACATATCACACTTCATTCTGTTTTCCACAGGACCATAGGCCCCTTGAAAGCAGGAACCATGTGGTTTTCATTGCTGGATCCCTCAACCCCTGGCTTGGCATCAGTTGAAGAAAATAAAGAAAGAAGAAATAAACTTCTTTAGGGGGCTCAGGAGTTTTCTTTTCTTCCCAAGGAGTTGGCTTAAAAGCCCTCAATTTAAAGCGGCCTCCAAAATTAAGCTATCATCTCACTGCTCCTCTGACCCACCCCGCCCGGAACTCCTATCCAGTCTGGTCAGGAGTTGGGCGCCCTCTTGTGGCCAAAGCAAGCCTCCTTGCAGACTTTCACCCTCTTGGATGGAGAGCTCAGCCAGGAAAGTGCGTTAATTTAGGACATGAGGCGTCCCCCACAAGCAGCTTAAAAGTCACCCTCTCCGGGGGGCCTGCTGCTCACAGGTCTGGGGGCATCCACGTGTACCTGCAGGGTCTCCCCTCATCGTGCCTGGACTACCAGTTCCACACGTTATCTCCCCAGGGACCCACGCAGAACCAAAATCTTTTCTGTCTGTGGTTGGAGAAGAAAGGGAAGTGGGCAGGGGGGCATTTCACTCCACACAAGTACCCAACGTTGGAATTCTACAACGGGAAAGCATCTGCCTGAGGCAGTTAGCAGTTAAGTGAGCTAGCAGTTAAACTCACAGGCTTTGGGGACAGGGAGACAGGGAGCCCAAGTCCTGACTGTGACCTCCCTCTTTGAGCCTCAGTTTCCTCACCTGGAATATGGGGAGAACACTAACATGGATCTCAGAGGGCTATCATGAGAATTCTGAGATAGTGGGCTTGGCACGGGGCTTAGCACAAAGTGGGGGTTCAGGTGATGTTACCAGTTACTAAAGTCACCATGACCAGGTTAAGTCAGATGTCCACATAGCCATGGAAATAGACTTGAAGATGCCAAGCAACTTCCTCGACCCATCACGACCCTTGGCAAGTGAAGAGGACAAAGGCTCTGAGTCACCACGTGACAAGGCCACATCCTCTGGCTAAAAGAACCAAGTCTGACCCAGGGCAAGCTTAGTAGGAGCTCAGTGCTTCAGAGACAATCTGTTTACCAATTCATGGTCACAGATGGAGCAGAGAAGGGTATATGTAAATAAATATTAGTTGGGCAGATGGATGGGTATAAAGATGGATAGGAGAGAAGGATGGAAAGATGAAGGCAGGGAGGGAGGAGAAAGATGAAAAGAACGAAGGACAGAGAGGCTGGGTGAATGGAAGCATGGAAAGAAAGAAGGGAGAAAGGGAGGGAGGAAGATGAAAGGATGAAAGAATGGAGGATGAATGGAATGAATGAAAGAGAAAATGGGAAGATGGGAGAACGGATAAAGGAATAGAGGAGAAAGGGAGGATGGATAGATAGATGATGGATGATAGAAGGATGGGTGGATGATGGATGGATAGATGATGGTTAGAGGG